ATACAATTGTGGTTTATTACAAGTTGAAGGAGCTTCTAGACGAATCAACTGATTGAATATTTATTTGCTTTGGGAACATTTTGTACTTTCTGTTGATGAACTGGACTCATCACTTTCGTAGTTGTCTTGTGAAGATTCCTCGACGTCTAACTCTGTTAACATTTATTGTTTTGTATTTTAAAAATATTTTAATACGCAACTATTCTGGTACCTGTTTCGGATTCCATCGTGTGTTGTTCGAGAGTCAGTGATTTTTCTGAAGATTCCCCAGATGAATCCATGCAGTATTCTGTCGATTTCTCTCGTTGTTCTTCACTAGCCTCATGCTCGCTCTCATCGACGTCTGCAACTACCGGATACTTTTCCGCTTTTAATTCCACCGATTGTTTATGCCTATTTTCAGTCTCCATGTCTCGCCTTTTGCCCTCGTCTTTCTTGGATTTTCTGCTCGAATATGTGCGCTTTCTATGCTTTGTGTTCTCAGCTGAATCGCTGCATCGTCCAGGTGATTTTTTTGGCGAAGAAAATTTGACGCGCTTTCTTGGGGTTCTGGATATCGATTTTTCCCGTTTTCCCAATTCCTCATCTTCAGTGTCCCAAATAAATTTTACATCCCAACAATCCATTAAGCTCACGAAATATAACAGCAGCAACAACAACCTGTGTATTCCAGTTACGTACTTCTTCTAGGGCTTCTTTGGCAGTAAAGCCTGATATTTTATTAAAGCTGTTATCAGGTCGCTTCTTTTTATGGCTAAAACCAGCAGTTGCGGATTTGCTCATTAAGCGCGCATTATGATTAATATGCCGGTTGGTTTTAAATGCTATTGTGGCCGGCTGGAATGATCTTCCTACTGATACGTAAAGTTTTCCATTGACAAACTGAAAAATCCCATTAAATTGCAAAAGGCACAGTTCCGGATGAAACAGCATTCACCTTTAGACCTCACGAGTTGCAACGTTTAAATCTACTCTTGTATTCATTGTCTTCAATCCTGTGGCAGTGGCAGATGCAATTTTGGCCTCCCTATTTGTCTTCAGTGTTCGGCACTACGAACGTCTCATACATTTCTTCATTATCTGGACGCGCCAGTTCTTTGTTTATATCAATCGTCTCGTAAACCCCCTCCAATAAACTGAAAAAGAAGAATGCGCTTAGGTATAATACAGATTTACCTTATATATGTATTTATAAACAAATACCTTGTCGGCGGCGGGTCGTCTTTAAAGCCCTGCAGTAGCAAATCCATCCAAATTTTACTTTCCTTTAACATTGGTATAAGCGTGGCTTTTATTTTTTCCATGTTGATGCTCTCGTTCTTCGATAGCTCCATCAGAGTGTTATAGACGCGCTTCAACTGCGTTGGTTGATCCTTGAAGCAAACCTCCAGTTTGCGTAGAAACTTGACTCTTGTCTGCATTTGCAACCAAGGAATTAACTTCCCCACTGTAGCTGCTTCTTTTTGCCGAAGAAAGAATAGGCAATCTTCAGCAAGTTCTTCATACTTGGGCACCAGAATCGCCTAAATATAGTTGTAAAGATCGATTACATCGCCCGCTCCAAAATGATTCAAAATGCGCATAATTTTGCGATAGTCTTCGAACTCCAGAGTCTCGCGAAGCTTATCGTAGTATGCCACTGCAAACATCTCGTTTTTGTGTCTTTCGCAAAATTTGTAAAAAATTCTTTCTCTTGGCATTAGATTTACTCCAAATTAAAATCAAATCCTGGGCTCTTCAGTCATTTATTGTCTATTTATCAATTAAAAAAACGTTTCGGTGTTTTCCACCATCATCAGTTTCAATGTGTAGCGTTGTTGCTACTTTAAGCCTTGCCATGTATTTCTGCTGCAGAAA